GCAGGAAAATTAAAGATGCGAGGGGGGGGGGGAAACAGAGATGCACAAGATATACTATAGTGTGGCTTTATGAGACAGTCTTACCACAAAAGAGTTGGAGTGATTGGTAGAAAAGTCGACGAAACGAGAAACACAGTGCAACCATTGCTGCATCAAAACAAGTCTTCTACACGAAAGAGCAGGACAGTCGAGAAAGAGTACAAGTTCAGGTGGAAATAGGCCTTGGCATGTTCATGAAAATCGATGACTCACGATCCACTATAGGATGTGTGTTGATATGAATGTCTCCAGACGAGACGGCAGCGGACCAATGGCAAAAAACGAAGTGAAATCATTTACAAAAATAGGACAACAGCAAGCAAACATATGCATGAGGAGGTGTAGAAACGACACTATTGACAAAGTTTCCCAGGCAATACTGCAGTCCAAAGCATTGGGATAACAGGACTCCGAACGATCAGGTGGCAACCACTGAAGTGACAATCGGACTGGGGACTGGATGCGTGATTGCCCCAAAAGTTGACTGGATATGAATTTCAGTAGCTTGTGTCAGCTCCGACTCGATAGAACGAACTGACTGGGGATCGAACAGACCATGGTCTTCCGAATTGTCCTCTGCATCTGGTGAAGGTGTCTGACAGGAATCTTGTGCATCAGTCGATTTTTCTTCTGCACACTCAGCAACCGCCGGTTTGGGACTTGTTGGTAAGGCTGAAGGAACTACGGGCTACAACAAACAAGGAGAATATATTCAAATTATGGGTTTTTAGGAATCCAGAATATTACTACTGTTCCGGTATCAGAGGTTCGGTAGGTCAATCAAAGCTAGGCCATACACTACCGAGATCCATCATTAAGGTTGAGCGGGGCGTCAGTGCGAAACAACTTAGACGAGTTATATTTCCAAAAATTTCTTTGCTTCATGTTCGAAAGCCGATAGTAAGCACTGACAAAAGTAGTTCTGGAACTTTCTTTCTCCCTTTTCACCACACGCCGTTTCCACACCAATTTATGTGACCAATCAAAGCTACCGAAACAATGAGAAGATATGCAAACAAAAACAATCGGACATTTGATTGGACTTTATTGTGATGCGCACCACTACATGTGAGAAAGCCATATATGTTTTTGCTCTGCCATTGTATCAATACACTGAGGATGGTGGAAAGGCTGCACTGCGAGTCACTTCGAGTACACGCCCTTAAACTTGTCGGTCCCGGTTTATGGAATTGGCTTTCCCAAGTCACGGCTCCCGTTATATGTGATATTAACTCGTACGTGTGGGTCCCGTGCCATTCAATGGCTTATGCAACCCTACAGCGTGACCTACTTAGCGTACGGAAAACCAAGAGAGCTGAGTACCCAAAAGTAGGACACCAAAGTGTATACTTTATCAATGGCTTTGCCTGGTCAACAATGTTCCTCAACATGACGTTGAGATAGGTGAAGGCAATACAATACAGCTAGTCAGCGCACTGACGAATTCCCCTCGAGTCGTGACGAGACGTCTGAAAACCAGTTGTTGGTGCGAGATGGCCCAATTAGTGAGAGCGCGAATTTACTGACCGGAAGGTCCGTGGTTCGTGACGAGACGTCTGAAAACCAGTTGTTGGTGCGAGATGGCCCAATTAGTGAGAGCGCGAATTTACTGAACGGAAGGTCCGTGGTACGAAACCGACCTCTGCCTCTCGACTTCCCCTGTCCAGGCTTGGGCAACCAACCCTCGTGCTTCCTTCGGGTGGCATGGTCGCTGGCACCGAAAGGGTGCTACAGCTGAACGATTTTTTCGTCAAGCTCGGGAACACGCAAACAACTAAAGCAGATATGATAAATAAATCACATTCACTAACCAAGATGGCATTGAATTCGACACTGTGGACATCGACCCACCTAAACTCTGGGACAGCCTTTTTGCCATGCAGTCGGTTGAAAAACACTACAAACGAGAAGTTCATGCAGGTTTTTTTTATTGAAATCAACTCAGTTTATTGACAGATGTACATGTTGGCACCCAAGCAGGAAGTAAATTCGCAAAAAACCTAACTGGTGAACGCACACAGGACGAAACCGGTAGATTTCGTCTATCGCCGTTAGTTCCAGCTCCAAATAAAGGGTTTTCGAATGTCATAAAATTTCATCATAGAAAACCGATGAAACACATCGACTAGCCATGTAATTATACTGGAAATAACCAATTTTTTGGACATTACCACAACCTGGCAACGCCTACAACCGTAAGTTGCCACACCGACACTTCAATAACAGATAGCCCAAACAAACCTGGAGTTTCCATGAAGGAAACTACTCACAAGGTTGCTGAAAACTCTTCGACAGCCCATGACCGGTTTCCGTCAACTACTTGAATATCATAAACGAGAGATTCACTTGAGTCTCTCGTGAAAACCAAATTGAGTTGCAAATGAGTGTATTTCTCGAAAACAGTCCAATGTGGGTTCAAAGCACACCAGGCTGTCAATCGCCTATCCAGACCGGGGTTCACGGTAATAGGAAGGCATTAAGGAGACTGTGGTCCATAACAGTAACGGCGAGCAAAAAATGCGCCTTAAGTTTCCTGACTTGTCAACTGCATCAAAGACGAATGGTCGAGAAAACAAAGTGCATCAGATCCAAGACTTGCTGCTCAAGGACAGCACACATAACTTTACGATCCCGTGAAAGTTACACAAGGGTCACGCGTCAAACTAGCTCCAAGTGTCCGGTAAGCTGAAACAATGCGAAAGCAAACATCAGCTACAAATACTACGAATATACAGCGCAAGAGATTCGACAAGCTCTCAGCAGAACCAAATGGACCGTGATGAGTGTGTTGCCTTTAGGAGGATGGGAATAGTCACTGAGCCCCTCCAAATATGCCACGGAAAATATTTATGTCAGATTTCCAATAAGTGGGGAAACCCTTTCCCACAATTGAGTTCTTCGAAGGGTGATTTTACCCTCGTAAAGTGTGATGAACCTATCGCTGTCCTAGTTTGCTTTGTAGGATGAACAAGTTGTTTGAAAGGGTCTGAGGTGAAAGTTGACAGTCGGGCGACAGCTGGGTTAGGGGGTGTTTTTGTGTGGATAATTTCGCAAGATTCGGTGGGTTTGTGGCGCTAAACTTTACTGTTTGTATAAAAACGAATTTAAATGCAAATTCAGATAAGGTTGCACGGAAAAACCAAGTGAGAACAAATATGACATCGCAAATGACGTCAACAGACTGATAGACAGTGTAAGTGACCCGCACTTATACAACGCGAGCTGATCACATCGCTGATCAACCGCTCATGGTTGGACGGTTTAGTCTTAAACCATTAGCGTACCAAACTGCGCAGTTGATGATGTAGTCTGGTATGGTGATGGAACGTTTACAAGTCAATTGCCCCACTCGGCCACCTGATCTACAATCAATGATGAATAGACTAGGTGAATTACTCGGAAGAAAGTCGAAGTTCACTTTGCCTTCTTCCCTATTCTGGAACGGCATGCTTACGGCAACTTTGAGTGCTGCTCCTCTCAGCATCGAGAAAAATGTGGGGAAGGGCCTCAGTAAGACACATGAGATTCGTTTCCGGAATCATGATTGGGTGTCGATCTATGTGGAAACGGCTTTGACAGCTGACCATGGACGGTAACAGCAAAGGACATTTGTGAGGTGGATTCATGGAAGCCATAAAGTGAGCGAACCAACTGACGTGCGTTCTCCAAGGTTGGAATGCCAAGCTTGAAGAGCCTCCACCGCAAACAGGCACGCTCCAACTGCGTTGGCATTCGATGGCAGAGTATTTACTTACCTGATCTTTCCGACGGTTGGGGGAAGAAAGGATGACTGTTTTAGTCCTCGTTAGACTCCACTTATTACGGACTAGTTGGCCCTTAAGGTGGAACATTGTTGGAGTACACGCTTTTCCTTGATAAATGGCTATTTGCCCTTAGGAATTCCATTTCAGTTGCATGATGTACATTGTCCAATGAAAAGCTACTTGGTGTTTGGTTGGATTTCTGTTCTAATATGGAATGGTGCTGAGGATTGAGCTAGAAAAAGTTAGCACAGTAATGCCCAGGAGAAGCTTCTCAGAAAAGAAGCCAAGTCCTCCTCGAAGAGGCCGAATACTACCCATTGAGTGGGGTTATCTGTTGGAGAGGCCACGGTATTGGGTCAATTTTAGGTTGTACTGCCCACCACGTATTTATCAAATCTAGCTATTTGGAGGTTGAGGAACAATGCAGCTTACAGTAGAATGAAGGCATAGTACGGATAACCTCACATATTCAAAGAAACTGGTTAACCACTGCGTTTCGTTAAACATCCTTCAATAAAAATCGTTTCCGGCTTGGGTACTCACTTAAACTTTCGTTTATTAAGTCCTGCAACAAAGGAGCGCCATACATCACTGTATGCTTGAATTATTTTGCATAGTTCATACATAGTTAGCAGCCAACTTGAAAAAAAGGAGAAAGAAAAATCAACTGGTAAAAACGAAACCAACTCACCGATCTGTCGAAGACTCCAGAGCTTCCAAGAACCAAATACCGTTTCCCTCCAGGACAGCCGCGAAGAACAGCGTATCGGTAAGGAGGGGGAGTCAACGGAGCTGAAAACCCAAACAGAGCTGGGATGTGTGAATAGCGTTGTGTTGCAGTTCATGAAAATTCGTAAACTGGTAAGACTCAACAAAGTTCAAAGGGTGAGGTGAGCTCACAAAATCGAACCCAACTATCTTTTTTGATATCTCCAAGCTAGATTTAGGTAACCTGGAAAATATAAACACTGAGCGTTTTACGAGTGAACAGTCGAATGCTCTGACTAGGTACGACAGTAAAGACCGGAACCAAAAGGGGGCATCGACACGAAACAAAAGCAACAAACGCGGTGGATTCGATCGTATCAGGTCTTAGTATCAGAATTCGACTAATTGCTTGCTCGGTCAAAACTTTCCTTAAGCGGTGCTTAGCCGTCTTACAAATGTCCGAAAACGGGTGAGGGATACATTGCTGCTGGTTCAAAAAAAGCAGAAAAAAAGCAGATTTGTGATGATGGTTTTAAAGCGTGCCGCCGTTGAATCCTCCACCAAACCAGGAAATTTCAAAATTCACTATCGAGACATTCCCAGGAGATACTTAAAACATGGCACACTGAAGTCTGGCATTATCAAAACTCATCAGCGTCTGGTACTTGCCATTTGGAAAACGTTTCCATTTCTCGTTGTCAATCGATAATGAAGTGAATAGATCATTAAGACAGTCGAACGGTTTCAATTTACTGATGGGTCGGAGATTCGCGCTGCTTTGGGTGACTGCTACTGGTCAGTAATAAAACACTGAGTTTAATGATGGCTTACTAGAACACAGCCTGGATGCATCGCTTGGGCTGTTGACTCAGCAATCCAAAATGGTTTGTTGTGGGATGCGTGTGCGCCACCTAATCAACCATGTGAGCGGCCTCGCAAGCACTAGTGCTTCAGAATATTGCACTTACAAACTAGATTCAAAGTGACACCCCGGACGATATTAGGTACCATGAGTTTTAAATTTTCAATTCCTCAAGCGCTGAGTAAACCGGCAACAACATGCGTGTATCCATAAGTAATTTCGGGTTTTGCTATATACACCTTTGGACTAACAAGATGATGTAGAAGGAACGACATAAAGAGTATGCAACATGGGGCTGCTGACTAGGCGATGACCTGCCACTGCTGCATGAAACGCGCAGTCATCGATCGCTGTAGTTTCGGGAAGACTCCAACAGACTGCGATAGGTCATACATATGAATGCACACTCAACCTCACTCTACCTGGCCATCTACAGTATGAGCTGCTAATCTGGCCTGCCCGCCCCCTAGGGGAACATGACGAGCAGTTCGAAAAACATTCGGCTTATGCCTATTTGGTATCCCATCAGAAAGGGTGGTGGCAACAGGTTAACAGTCTAGTTTTTTTCACGAATCTGATAGTAGATGACCCTCTGCCAAAATCCGACTCCGACCTCCATCTTAGTAAGCGCACTGGCGGGAGGCATGCATACTAGGTTGTTCGGATAGATGCTGATGTAATGGTCACTGTACCGATACATAAGGAACTACGGCAATACAGACGTGATGCCCAGATGAAGTAGTCACGTCGATTGTTTAGTGGGCGTTCGCCGTTGTTCTTCTGTCACAGAGAGGGAGGAAGCTAATAAAAGACAGCCTTAAAGTTTGATCTCGCCCACGTGGCGAGATCTTCAACCACTGAACGTGGTTGAAGTCAGCTTTACTAATTACGGTAGAAAAAACACCAGAACTACTAACAAAAAACTCCAGGATTGTGTGGCCAGCCTGTGGAACGGTCCATTGAGACCAGGCGGTCACAACTCCTCCAGATTGGGTATCTGAGAAATGGTATGACGATTCCCCTCGCTTGCAGGTAAATCGGAAGCTGTCGAGTTACCCCAGCTGACCACTCATCATAGGCTTGTGGAAAATCTGAATATTACTGGATAAGGCTGATAAGCAGATCGACAGTGGGACCAGAAAGACAAGGAATCAGCGTTGAGAAAACCGGTCGGCTGACTAAGGACGTCGTCCAAGAGCTGGTTCCGGATGCACATTCTACTAGATCGGCTACCCAAAAGACGACATCACGGTTTTAGTTTAACCACGTCGGACCACATCAATAAAAGGCCGAAACAAAATCCAGTGGAATCTATTAATGCCTTACTTCATTCTGCCTGAAAGTGACAGGCCACACCTACTTGACCGTGCTCACTACATACACTCAACCAGTCAGATAGGGCAGCTGCACCCAGACGTCATAACTGGTTGGAAGACAACAACCAACATACAAAACGGCTGATAACCGGATAGAAAGAAGTGCCTGCAGTCTCATGTCCACTTGGACGGCGGAGCCAAGTTACAGTGACTAAAAGACGCACAAAAAGATCTGAATCGGCAACTCAGCCATATCAAGGACGAGTAGTTGATAACGCGAAGTGAGCAGGCCGAAGGAACCACTGCTCAGTAGCGGCACAAAGAATTATACAACCGTGTGGAATCCCGTTGTGGGCTGAGAATTAAGGCGACTCTCCAAGATATTGACACGGGAGTGAAGCAGATGTCACCTGCGGAGATATTGGTATGGCACAAGCACTTCGGTAAGCCGTTGAACCGTCATCATCGACTGGAATGCAGTGGTTAGACTGCGTCAAAGAGAGGTGGATATTTTTTCAACTATAGAGGAGATACGGCAGACGGAGGAGGAGTGTTTGCAGTAGAACTGTTCAAGTATGATGACCCGACTCTGAATAGTGCAGCTCTTCTGACAAACATGATCCGGCAGGAAGAGGATACACCAAAGATGCTCTAATTTTGTCACTCTACGAGGAAGGAAGCAAGACTTTGTGATTGCTGCATGACCGCATCAAGAAAGGTGAACATTGCCAGCCGATCCATACCGTCTCCAAGGAGCTTGTGAAGGTCTCTGACTCCACTAACGGAAAGTTTTGGGGATGGTTCTTTCTAAATACGAGCGTCCATAAAAAAATCTTCAACCTTAAGCGAAGTCCACAGGACGGAAGGAAAACGAACGCACAGAAAAACGGATTGACTTCCATTGCTTTCGAATTCCTCACTGGCATAAAACAAGGGCGTGTCTCCACCCCCGCACTCTTCCAACCCTACATAACGACTATCGTGGATGCGGATTCCGTGAACGACAACGCCATTGCATTGCGAACGTGGTAGTCACCGACTTCGATAAGGTTGTCTTCGAAGCTGGTCGGTCTTCCAGAATAGGCCAGCAATCGTTGTTGCCATGATGGACTATTCATTTTTCGCCTCCCAAGTAAATCAAACAGAAGGGTCGAACGAGGTATTGCCCAAGAGTGTCAGGATATGAATTTTCTCTGATTCAATTTTTGCTGGCATATATGATTTACTAAATTTCCACAGACCCAATGATTTCCTTTAGAAACTACGAAGCCACATCAGTTAGGAAACGACGTTGGCATATGTAAACCTCGGTCCAGAAAATATGCACCGATATCACCAGTGAATCATCCACGTCTCAATCAACGTCCGATGATGGAGTGATAAACACGGGAATGAGTTCTTTGCAGTTGAACATCGGGACTTATTTTTCTATTCTGCACTTTGGTTAGTTTGGGAGTTTGCCAAGAACCATCTAAAGATTCGACTTCTGGGGTTGCACCACAAAGGAGATCTAACTCTACAAATCAAGCCTCAAGGAAGGACAAAATTGTGATAAATTAGATTAACCATAGGAGATTTGGATTGGTCGAGTCTCACAAGGAGAAAACAAAAAAATTAGCGAACAACCTACTGTGTGGACTAAAGGTCCATGCGAATCGTAGCCAGCGAACTTACCAGCAGTACTGGTTCGAGTATCATCAGCGTCTGTATGCTGAGATAGGGAAGTGGAAATAAGCGCGGTAGATGAGAGGGGATTGGTGCTATAGGCCCCATGTCGACGACCAAACAGTTTATCGCTAGCTGTTAGGGGAGCAGGGCTAACAGGTGTCACCAACGAGGAGGCTGTCACTAACTGAAGCAGTTTTGTCGGTCCCGTTTCGGTTGATGTGGCTGCCGCAACACTCCTAGCGGAGGAGCTCTGTATCAAAGAGGTAGCTCTATGCGAGTGAACAGATCCAGAGGTGAAGGGGTTAATAGTTCGTGCGACTGGGGTGTGGCTAACCTCAGTTCCCAATTCAGAACCTGGAGAAGTAAATACCGAGCATGATTGACAGGATGCGATTTTTCAGAATGATGTACAAAAAAACACGGGATGGCCTGAAATTCCAAGGAATGTGTATGGGAAGAAAAATCGCAATGGAAACCCATCGAACCACTCAGCTATTGAGTCGAGGAAAACACTGGTAAACAATCATCTTTAACCCCGACACAGTTAGCACAGATTGTCGGCATTAAGGCAAAAGTCACGCAATCAGAGCTCGAATGTCATCACTAGTAGTCAACGGAAACATGAAAATGGGGCAAAGAAGTGCGAAAATACGACTGAAAGAGAAACTAAGATCGCGGCTTACGCTCGCTCGGCAACATTGAGGGCTCACAAATTCTTCAGTGAACGAATAGCAACCTGATAGGAGATAAACGGCCACAGATCGCTTGGAAATCTAGAGTTTGGACTCCCTACGTTGTTGCCTGTATTGAGCTGTTTCGGGTATAAATAGAGCTAGCAACACACAGCGATTATTGCTTTTGCACTATTCTGCAGCTATATCCGAGCAAGTTGCGACAATTAGCAAACCGTAATCGTTCAGCAGTAACGCCCTTTCGGTGCCTAGGCGTCATGCCACCCGAAGGAACCAAGATGACTAAGGTTCTACCAGGTTGCTCACGCCTAGACAGAAGCGGTCGATATGCAGAGGTTGAGTTCCAAACCCGTACATTCCGGTGACTAAGGTCTACCAGGTTGCTCACGCCTAGACAGAAGCGGTCGATATGCAGAGGTTGAGTTCCAAACCCGTACATTCCGGTCAGTAGTTTCGCGCCTTAACCACTGACATACCTCAACCTCACCGAGCAGCAAAACAGCCATCGTGAGCTTGTCCTCCTGTTAGTTTCATCCTCACGTCAACAATAACGGATCAGCCTACTAAGCCCCATCAGTAGCCATTTTCGTTCCTCAGAGTTTTGCTTGAACAGCGATTTTGCAGAGTTAATGTTGCGATCACAAAGTGCAATACTTTGAGTATTATTTCAAACATACCCATCTTCTCGGAGTAAATGCTTATTGTTGCGTTGTAGGAAATTACGTGCTGACTGGTGACCTAGGTAAAAAATTTTGGCGTTTGGTAAAGTTGTTTCATCTACAGACTTTACGGTTTGTGCCGCGAAAGTCTCTCTCGAGGGCTGTGACATAATCGACGTATGGGTAACCAGATGATTGTGTTCCACTTCTTGATGGGTCTGACGTGAAACAAGCCCCTTCGCCAGGTGACCGACAGTATGCCAAGTGAGCAACAGCAAAAACAAGGGACGATGCAAGCGTTTTTGGATGAAGCTTCAAACTGAGCCCTCAGACGAACGAATTCCTCAGAGGAGGGGGGTGACAACCTATTGAACTGGTGGCTAATGTGACCGCCATGCGACGGAGGAACATGTGAAATGGGCTCAAGATGGCTCAGTGGCTAAGGCGAGAATCAATATCCAGAAGGTTCGTGTTTCGAACATAACCCTGGCATCTCGACTGTTCTTGTCTAGGCTTTGGCAATCTGACAGCACTTCAGCCCTCGTGATACCTCCAGCTTGGCAGCGAACGTGTGTTATAGTTGAACAACTGTTCATTACCATTTATTGGCCTGTGAGAAATTTTCTGAAACGTGGTAAAAGCTGTGCAAACGAAAAAAAGGCACTCTGGAAACGATTTCCGCTGAGCTGGAATGAACGAATCACATAACCATGGTGGTTGTTGGGTACAAATCGTCTTGGTTCCATCTGTTGTAGTCTCGTCTCGCGATGATGAGGGCAGCCATGTGCTGTGGTAATGGCTTGAGCAGTCTACTTTGGTGAAAGGATTCTGAGGTTGGGGCACTAATTTTGGAAGGCAACAACTCTCATGCGGACGTACCACTTACGATGTGGTCGCCTGATGTCAATATTTCTAATTATGAATGGCTCGTCTTGAAATTCCTGTACATGGGAACAGCACTTACAAAAGCGACTGGGTCTAAGTTGATAAAGTGACAAGGGGAATAAATTACGGAGAATGACGTGCAATAAACTACGACTATTTTGTTCTCAACAAAAAGGTTAACATAAAGACCGAGGTGTAAGAGCAGCACTTGGGAGATGGCAATTAAAAAGAAACCATTCTTACGTGGAGTGCAGGACATCACAATTGCTAAGCAGATGACGGTTGTTTGACGAATTCATCCACCATGCTTTAAACATGTTAATCGAAAACCTAGAAGGTACATATAGAAATTCTGGACAGTCTCTGAAGGTGGTTCGCATTGAAGAACTTACTGTGATAAGTGTCGGAGATGAGGTATAATTTTGGTGACAGCGTTAAGTCATGAAAATTTGGAAATGTAAACGAGTGAAGCAGTGAAGTATCGGTGTTGAAAACTGATGTCATGCTTTCGATGATGAAATGAGTCAGTCGTTAATCGCGGCTACTTGCGTGCACAACGTACCTATTTGGGGTTGCCCAGAAAAGGGAGGTCCTCCAACCCCGCCAGAGGAATTTGAGCCTCGCTTCAAAATAGTAGGTCGACGTCGGCCAGTAGAAGAGGGGTGAGCAGAGTGCTGAAGGACCGGTTTGGCAGAAACGGTTGTGCTCGGTCGGGGAGAACTGTTCACGAACGCCCGAGGTGCTAGCGGAAGGCGATAGGGCAAAACTTGAGAGCAACACTAAACAGGGAATCGTTCTCACATGGTGGCATATCATAAAAGTCAAACAAAGATAGATTACGGGTCGCGTTTAGAGCGAGCGAAAGATGAACTTTGAAGTGACATGAAGTTGCAGTTGGCTAGGCACCACCTCGACTTACTTGAGACCAACAACTTCACTCATCCAGGCACGCTGATGAGTGAAGAATGAAGTAGGCTGGGGAACATCACTATGTGGTATCATTGGAAATCAAGTGTAAAGGTGGTTAAGCTCTTGTGACCATCATTTGTGTGAATTCTACACTTACAACAGTGCTCTCAGTGAGACCGCCCTCAACTCCCAGCAAAAATCAGCCTAAAGATGCACAGGATCAAAGCCCGATTCAAATACCTGGGTTCTTACATTTCGGCAGGAAGTATCTGACCAAAAATCATTGAGATAAGCGTTGCCCTTGATGTAGCCTCAAAACATTTTTTTCACTTACGGTCACTACTTTATCCGTTCACTATTGGAGGCATATCAAACGGGTGAACAAAGCTGGTTTTCCCGGTCAAGTTCTAAAATTAAATAACGTCTTCAAAGGATTGAACAAAAGTAACCCCTTCGTGGAAGTAGTTTGTACTGCTTCCTCCTTAGAGAAACCGTTCTCCAGATGAGGCCACTTTGAATGGACTCTGAAGCATATTTTAAACCACCCTGACATTAGCCTGTTAGCTGTGGCATAGTAGGTGCCTTCTGGTCTTATCCTTCGAAAGTTGACTGAATATAGAAAGAGGAAGATCCGTGAAAACCCAACTGGATTCAGTCCTGCAAGAGGATGCATTGATCATATCTTCACCCTCCGACAGATTCTGCAACAGCGACACTGCTTCCAGCAATAAAGTGTCCTTTGACTCAATGGACCGTCAAGCACTATGGCAGTGTCTGTAGAGCAAAGGTTTTCCCCATAAATTCTTGACCCTCCTTATGGCGCTGTACGCCAACTCCCGCGGCTGTTTGAAGGCCTGCGGGAAACTCTCTTCTGAGTTCACCACATCAAGTGGTGTCAAAGAAGGCTGTCCTCTTTCACTTTTCCTCTTCAACTTCGTCATAGATGCGATCATGGAAGACTCGCTATCAGCCTCTATTGCCTGTGGGGTCAAAGTGTTTCCGGGGCGTCCGCTCGCAGATATCGAGTGCGCAGATGACATGGCTCTTTTTGGATCTGACCCCGTGGTAATTCAAACAATATTAATCTGAATAATTCCGCCTCACGGTTTGGCATGCGCTTCACACCTGTAAAGTGCCACTGCAAGACTGAGTGGGCTCGAACCCTAGCCTCATTCATACGGATAAACTGATTGAAGTAGTAGACAAATTCGTTCACCTGGGCTCTATCGCAAAAGATGATATTTCTATCCGGATTGGGATCGTAAGAGCAGCTTTTGTGAATCTGCGTCTCCTGTGGCGTAGGCGTGACATCAGCTTATCTATCAAGGGTCGAGTTTACAATGCTGCGGTGCGATCCATGTTGCCATACGGGTCAGAAAGGTGGCTGCTGCACGCCGAGGACGCCAAAAGACTTTCAGTGTTTTACCATCGATGTCTTCGGAGCAGTGCTCGAGTCTGGTGGTAACACCCTCGACAGATGAACTGATCACACCACATAGGTTGCTGTGGCTTGGTCACGTGCTGCGTATGCCAGTCAACCGACTTCGATGAAGGGTGTTAAGGAGCCAGAAACGGTCAAACAGTGACTTGGCAACGAAGTATAAGGGTCATTAGCAAACTCAACTGCGCAAGTCATTGCTGTCTTCCTCGATGGGGACCCCCAGACGGACCACACCAATGGTTAGAGACATTGTCAGACATGATCCAGTCGTGCCCTCAACGGCGCTCGTGCATCCAAGCTATTGCCTTCAATGCATAGCCCCCTTCCCAATCCCCCACATAACGGTGCTGTATTTACGCACCAACCTATCAGCTCCCGCTTCCAATGCGCACCTGTAAAGTCCACTGCAAGACTGAGTGGGCTCGAACCCTAGCCTCATTCATACGGATAAACTGATTGAAGTAGTAGACAAATTCGTTCAACTGGGCTCTATCGCAAAAGATGATATTTCTATCCGGATTGGGATCGTAAGAGCAGCTTTTGTGAATCTGCGTCTCCTGTGGCGTAGGCGTGACATCAGCTTATCTATCAAGGGTCGAGTTTACAATGCTGCGGTGCGATCCATGTTGCCATACGGGTCAGAAAGGTGGCTGCTGCACGCCGAGGACGCCAAAAGACTTTCAGTGATTTACCATCGATGTCTTCGGAGCAGTGCTCGAGTCTGGTGGTAACACCCTCGACAGATGAACTGATCACACCACATAGGTTGCTGTGGCTTGGTCACGTGCTGCGTATGCCAGTCAACCGACTTCGATGAAGGGTGTTAAGGAGCCAGAAACGGTCAAACAGTGACTTGGCAACGAAGTATAAGGGTCATTAGCAAACTCAACTGCGCAAGTCATTGCTGTCTTCCTCGATGGGGACCCCCAGACGGACCACACCAATGGTTAGAGACATTGTCAGACATGATCCAGTCGTGCCCTCAACGGCGCTCGTGCATCCAAGCTATTGCCTTCAATGCATAGCCCCCTTCCCAATCCCCCACATAACGGTGCTGTATTTACGCACCAACCTATCAGCTCCCGCTTCCAATGCGCAGCCACCTACCTCACTTCCTCAAATAATCGGTGATCGAAACTGTCAGCTACAACCACTGTACGACAAGCACGCCGTTATTACAGCTGACAATGATGATGACCCTCCTTTATGAGTAAGACCAGTCTACAACAAACGAGTGGTTTAGACTGTTCAGTCGTCGGGTAGGTTCTAACAAGAAAACCCTAAGGATAGGTGCGTGGCAGAATAGACGTCTGAGAGGAAGGCTATATTATCTGATTACCCTGTGGGTCAGATATTAGGTCATAAGATCAGTATGGGCTGCCTCAAAACAACCCTTTTTCAGGCTGGTAATCGGGATGTATAACTCACCCCCACCACTGTATCTACTGATATCTATCTCGAAAAAAGCTGTGGCATAGTAGGTGCCTTCTGGTCTTATCCTTCGAAAGTTGACTGAATATAGAAAGAGGAAGATCCGTGAAAACCCAACTGGATTCAGTCCTGCAAGAGGATGCATTGATCATATCTTCACCCTCCGACAGATTCTGCAACAGCGACACTGCTTCCAGCAATAAAGTTTCCTTTGACTCAATGGACCGTCAAGCACTATGGCAGTGTCTGTAGAGCAAAGGTTTTCCCCATAAATTCTTGACCCTCCTTATGGCGCTGTACGCCAACTCCCGCGGCTGTTTGAAGGCCTGCGGGAAACTCTCTTCTGAGTTCACCACATCAAGTGGTGTCAAAGAAGGCTGTCCTCTTTCACTTTTCCTCTTCAACTTCGTCATAGATGCGATCATGGAAGACTCGCTATCAGCCTCTATTGCCTGTGGGGTCAAAGTGTTTCCGGGGCGTCCGCTCGCAGATATCGAGTGCGCAGATGACATGGCTCTTTTTGGATCTGACCCCGTGGTAATTCAAACAATATTAATCTGAATAATTCCGCCTCACGGTTTGGCATGCGCTTCACACCTGTAAAGTGCCACTGCAAGACTGAGTGGGCTCGAACCCTAGCCTCATTCATACGGATAAACTGATTGAAGTAGTAGACAAATTCGTTCACCTGGGCTCTATCGCAAAAGATGATATTTCTATCCGGATTGGGATCGTAAGAGCAGCTTTTGTGAATCTGCGTCTCCTGTGGCGTAGGCGTGACATCAGCTTATCTATCAAGGGTCGAGTTTACAATGCTGCGGTGCGATCCATGTTGCCATACGGGTCAGAAAGGTGGCTGCTGCACGCCGAGGACGCCAAAAGACTTTCAGTGTTTTACCATCGATGTCTTCGGAGCAGTGCTCGAGTCTGGTGGTAACACCCTCGACAGATGAACTGATCACACCACATAGGTTGCTGTGGCTTGGTCACGTGCTGCGTATGCCAGTCAACCGACTTCGATGAAGGGTGTTAAGGAGCCAGAAACGGTCAAACAGTGACTTGGCAACGAAGTATAAGGGTCATTAGCAAACTCAACTGCGCAAGTCATTGCTGTCTTCCTCGATGGGGACCCCCAGACGGACCACACCAATGGTTAGAGACATTGTCAGACATGATCCAGTCGTGCCCTCAACGGCGCTCGTGCATCCAAGCTATTGCCTTCAATGCATAGCCCCCTTCCCAATCCCCCACATAACGGTGCTGTATTTACGCACCAACCTATCAGCTCCCGCTTCCAATGCGCAGCCACCTACCTCACTTCCTCAAATAATCGGTGATCGAAACTGTCAGCTACAACCACTGTACGACAAGCACGCCGTTATTACAGCTGACAATGATGATGACCCTCCTTTATGAGTAAGACCAGTCTACAACAAACGAGTGGTTTAGACTGTTCAGTCGTCGGGTAGGTTCTAACAAGAAAACCCTAAGGATAGGTGCGTGGCAGAATAGACGTCTGAGAGGAAGGCTATATTATCTGATTACCCTGTGGGTCAGATATTAGGTCATAAGATCAGTATGGGCTGCCTCAAAACAACCCTTTTTCAGGCTGGTAATCGGGATGTATAACTCACCCCCACCACTGTATCTACTGATATCTATCTCGAAAAAACCCGCCAAAAGATGTTAGCGGTTCAACTAAATTCCCTTATCCAACCAATGCCCATTTAAATCAAACAAAAGAATGCTTCATTGAAATGAAGAGATCTAATTTGTATAGGTTTCAACATTCTCACTTTATATCAAAAAGGCTAACAGGCCTCTCTTGCCAAAACCAGGTCTGAACGCGCACCAAATTCTCTGAGTCATAAAACATTAGAAATAATCATTCAACTGTTCACGAGGTTCCTTACGAACTCGTCGCAAGATATGGACCGAAAAAACTTCAACCTCTGTTAGTCGCTCGTGTCATTAAACCCAAGGAGTACACAGCATTGATCACCTATGGTAAAGGACCACAACATGTATCAGGTTATTGTATGGGTTGTGGTATTTTAGAGTTGTGGGATCGTCTCTGCGTACAAGGCATCCACAGGGTAAAATGTTTGATTGGTGGTACCACAATCTGGCGTAGCTAAACCTGTAGCAAGGTCGCTATAAGACGAAAATTTCGTTGTGCGACACTCTACTCGCCGAAACCGTACCGCTCCATAAACTGTTGGAGCTCGGTTAGGTGCTATGGAGGAGCGCTGTATCCATTCCTCCTTCAGGGTGACGAAACTGCTATTTGGAGCCGAGGTGTAAAGGAGAGTAAAAGTATAAGTATTGTTGACACGATCCGTCCTCAGGATATGGTTTCTGCAAGCAGTCGTGCACTTGGTTCGAAACAGGTGTACAACGATGTACATTGTATTCAAGCTGTCAGTTTCTATCTAGATAGTCTGAGTGAGAAGTTTGGGATAAGGAAGCCGCAGATGGCTTGTGTGTATTTTCACTTTAGGGGCTTTCACATAAACTTCATGTGGCTGCACGGTAGTGAAGCATCAGTGCCAACGTTAGCTTTGCTGTACCTGTTGGCCGGGCGCTGTCTGCACACACCGAATTCACTTTCACTTCCACAGAGAAGGCTGGGGTTCCAGTCGATCCAAAAATGTTCGCGTACACCGTAAACGTAATTCCGGTTGAACAATCGCCAACTGGAATCGAACATTGTACTTAAGGTGGAAGCTGCATCTTACAATTCGAAACATGACCTACGCATCTCGGCCACCAGAGCACGAAGGCCATAATACTGAAATGCGGAGCGAGGAAGACGAGTCATAGTGTAGCTCTTGCTGGATACAGATGATTGCTCATCAACCAGACTAAAGGTTCGTTTTACGCCAACTGAAATCATCACAATGATCACCATCATCATCAGTTACACAAAAACGCCACGAAAGAACACTGGTGCATCAGTGCTGAAACATAGCTATTAACTGTATAGCAGCTACAGACCCCACATATGACCTCAGAGTTGGAAGACGGAGTTGCACATTGTGAGAGATAGTTTTGAAATGTCATTAATCAGCTGATTATGACATGATGATTAAGGATACCTTTCGGCAATTATGTAGGTGGCGGAAAAAGGTTGTTCTCTTCGGAAATGGAACCAGGTTCAGTCATGAAGAACTAACAAATTTTCATTAATAGGGCACTCGGGCGCCAGGAAGACAAATTTGGGATGCATTCGGCACAAGAACCTGTCATCTGCAAGGAACGATCAGCGACAACTGGTAAATAACGACAGGGACCTCCTCATAAGGGGAAAATTAATATACGGGCGCATAAATCTTCTCTTCAGTTGGACAAATGTTATCCTTTCACTTTCACGATGGATCCCTGAGAATTCACAGACTTTCCCTAGAACCTAAAAGCTGTTCACGGAAAAAGCCGGTACATTTCGTTGATCTAAATGATTACTTTTTGTAATGCACTACTCATAAGGTTGCTGAAAACCCTCGACAACCTTTGAGTAGTGCATTACAAAATATAAATGTATCGCGATTTCTCGAATACCGTAGCGACTGAAACATGAGGAGGCCTGGTGCAGCATATTCAGTTGCCTGTAAACCTCAAAACCGAGAGACTCAGCTGGGTTCCAGGTGAGTCAGCACAATTGAGAACCTAGTGCAACGAGCCATATCCTTCGGTTGGACTCGTGTAAAACCCACACTATTCAAGATCAAAGTTCGTCAAGGCATTGCAATTTTTCGCTCCTCCGTGCAATAAGATGAGGTGAAGAGTATTGCACAGTAGCACAACAGCTATCTGTCGTCCCCACTTTGCTTACCTAAAATAAAAGCAGTCTTCTCATGAGGCCCTTTTAGGGTTCGGCGCAAAACACAGTGCATGTCTACTCAGCAATAAATTCCCGTTAGTCCTTAATGATCGCATAATTCAGGAAGTTAATTTTCCAGGTGTGAGGTGGCTTCATTCGAAAATCACCGATCTAAACACTGAAGAGCAAACCTGGAAGCCTTTAACCGATTGTCTCCTAGTGCCTAGTGATACTTCCGTACAACAGAAAGAGAACTTACCTGGTGTATTCTGAGTATCTTTGTCATCATGGGGAACCCGATCTCGGATTGGTCGGATTTTGATTGACGTTGTTCCAAGGTTACTGGGCATCCGCAGAATGGAGGCAGACTTCAATCCGGACGAAGTATCAACCAAAGTCTGAGAACTTTCAATTAGAGCCTTCTGACGATAAATAACAGGCAAAATACCGTCGGCCCGACTTGAATCTTCACTGGATAGTCTGCGATCATAAGTTGACGATGGAGTGAATAAGGAGCTGGAATGCGGAGATTGTTGATACGGTGGGTAGGAAGCGACTATTTTAGTATTGGAACTGGACAGACCAACAGAAAATAAGGGAGAGAAACTAACCTGGTATCGGGATTACTTCCGAACGTTGACATCGGAGGAACTGAGGTAGATGACTTTGTGCGGATCACCTGCATAGGGCGAACTGGTGACTTTCGCCGACTACCACTAGACGGCTGTAAAACATTAGCCAGTAATGTATGCGTATCGGATAAAACAACTCCATCCGCACCCGCAACAGGATCTGCTCCGGTCAAAATCGACAGTTCTGGAGCTAGAAGATCTTCCTCCTCTACATCTTCATTTGGTGGTTGACTCCGTTCCTCAGATAAATCGTGAGACAACGGAGAGTGCAGGTAGTCATCGTCTTCAGTGTCCAAGTTTGCATGGTATCTGGTGTGCCTGTAACGCTCAGAATTTTCATCGGCACCGAAATGTTGTAGACTGTCTGCATGTGTATCGGATACCGGCGATAAGCTCCCAACAGAAAAGAAGGAGTGGGAGTCGAGAATATTAGTTCCTAAAGGAAAAACGAACAAACTCAAAGTTCAGTGGAGTAAATAATTGTATACATACTCTTTGACCTTTAGGAATCCGTGGTAAAAATACAGCGATAATATTTAACGTCACTACCTCGCACCTAGTGACTGTGAGACAAAAAAGCGACTTGACTGTTTTTGTTATTAACATTTAAGCTCTTCTGATATATGGAACGAAAAAAACAGAGGCGGGATACGAAGCCGGCTGAGCTACCTCGAGCGCTGCCCCACGCTCCACATAGACTCCCACACATCTATAGAATAGTTCCAAAGCCAAAGAAACCACTTTCACAAAGGATCAGAAGTCGATATCGTCCATACGCTCAAATGGTACTACTGTAAAATCCGGGGCAGTATAAAGAATTCCACAAGGCCGGCTTTGGATGCTGTTTGACCACAAGCAGACCCGAAGTTAAAAAGATCGGTGGGGACATCTGTGCCTGGAATGTTCGCTAGCGGATACATCAGTTGATGCGGACAACACAACAGGGCTATGGCAGTAGGAACCACGGGTCTGACCCCGTACAGCACAAATATTAACACACGATCAACAATAACAAACGGTAGCAATTTAAAGGGCTGTAGGGGACAGCTATAACACTGAGTGTAACAGCCTCTGCGTGGCGATTGAAGTAAATGACCAGTACAATAAATGAACCTCCGGGGAAAACAAGAGGGTGCACGGAGAGCAGGGGAGGAGGAGGGTTCATGAGGGTCGTTAGGGGAAAACAATGAATAGTTACGAATGAACGTAAAGATACCGAACGGGGACAAAAGATAGACGTGTAGACAGAAGTGTCGCACAGCAAAACAACACGGTCCCAAAAGTGCATCAGACCGTGCGCCGTCGCATCCATGGTGTGCGCGAACTGTGCTGGCGTTACATAGGAAGGGACAAGGGTAAACTGGAGGCCGTAAGCAGGTTACGACAGTCCACATTCGATTTCAGGCGAAGTCATCTCCTTCACTACAGTGGTACTCAGTCGAAACAGCAATAAATAGTGCGGGGCAGGTAGCAAGGAGTGCGGGATCGATAAGCTTTGATTCACTTCACCTACAGGAAAGCAAGCGTCCGAGGTCATATTCTGACACTGTATATTTCAGTTCGACCTAATTCGCGGAAGTAAACTCACTAGAACTACAGTGGAGATAAATTACTTGGAGCCCAATGAGTATCGAGCTATCATGGGCGGTTGCATAGGATGCCTCGGGTTCATCACTTTCAAACCATTAGGCGCTTGGTTCCAAATAGTGGTGCTGTGCACCTATCTTGAGATAGCTTATCAACCACGCCAAATCTAGTCAAGTTGAGAAGAGGCAGCTAACATGGAGGGATGGTAATTGGACACTGCTTGTGGTATCAGTCGATTAACTTAACATCACCGCCACCGACTAGTGAATGTCGAACAATGGCATGAGGTGTGATCATCACAAAGCAAAGTATATGCTTTTCGGTTCCCGGGGATTGTTTCCTAGAAGGCATACAATCACTATTACTAACAACTATACATATTGATGCCTAACTGCCTACAATGGAAAACATCGAAATTGTTTTATCGTCAGTCATGGTTCCCAGGGGAAGGCACTGTTGTTCAGCTGAAACACTAGAATGCAGGTCCACCATGCCGGTGTTACTTGTGAGATACTGAAAGCCTGAAGCATTACTCCAATCCGACCTATGGAAACAGGCACAAAACTGCCTCCGTCGAGGAGTCATGTTGGAATTCCTGAACGATGCTCCTTTCAAGGGATGTACTGTAACTCATTGAAATCATACCGGATTTCACTTGACCCACTTTTTATACAAGTGCGAGACTACAAAAACCATGAGAGCAAACTGTCATGCAGAGTAGCTTCTCCTGACGGGAGCAATTTAACTTGGGTAGAGGAGTGATGGAACATCTCCGACAGTAAAACTTGCAAAGAACTGGCGAAAACTGAATGATATGACATCATTGAGGTACTATGTAAGAACTGCAGAGCAGATTCGGCGTCAGAGGTTTGACGAGATTGATACTAAGGGAGAGAACTCACTTTTCTGTCCGTCCGTACTGAATAAGTGGCGGCTTCCATCAGAGTGCTTCTTAGATTGTGATCCCGGACGAAAACCACCTAGTTGGTCTTGGCTGCGGACATCCGATTGTGCATGCAGCTCATCTAGAGCAACAGCTGGACTCTGGTTGTAGGACAGACATAATGAATCCAGAACAAATCGACAATCAACTATAGACGTTATATGGCAGGAATAGAACATCTAGCAGCACCAAATCGGAGTTGGCTACCATAAATGTGACAAAAGAGTAGTAACACTGCGCGGATACAGGCCACCGGGACAAGTTTTTTGGGAGGAGTGGGCTGTTTTGTTTGAGATATGAATCTGTATCACGGAGTCAATCTATGCCGAATGATTAATATACCATATTGTTGTGTTATCCTTGATAAGAATTGCCAGAAGTTTAAGGCCCATATATTCGGAACTCTAAGCAGCCGACGCCGATTTCACCCTAGGCTACGGTCCGCTGTTCAGTAATGTAGTTAGGTTGCACGTAAGCTCGATAAGACAAAAAGGCATCGAAATCTATCACGGCTAAATCGGTCAGCAGGTGGTATGAATGCCCGGATGACCCTGTTTAGCCCCGAAGAAGAAGAGCATTTGGAGTTAGTGCGAGCCGTACAGAAAACGGAGGACCAGTTCTCCGGTTACTCGTTGGAATCAGATACCTTGCTTAGAAGGAATTCAGGCACAAGTACTAAGGACATTTCATTTAGGGACTAGCAACGTCACGCCATCGACGGATTAAGTTGGGCCACGTAACAGTACCTCGTCTAGGTACCTGAAAAAAGTGTTCAGCCACGCCTGTCAACGGAACAAGTATGCGTTCGCCAGCTAGCGAAAGACGGATTGTGCCCATCAAGAAAAAAATAGTCAAGCAAGCTGACAATCCATGAAGGGAATAAGTAGGAGGCCGTCGGTATCAGACTTTTGGTGGTATTTGAGCGGAGGGATTCACCCACATAAAGAACCGCCTTGGCGATAGATGTTCCCAAAGAAAAACGGCCTCATCACGGAGATTGGATGTTCTCTGTACACGTACCGTGATGAAAACTACGGAACAGACTACCCTAATAAACTGGGTGAGTGATCACTGGTAGCAGTCGTCATGAAAGCCAGTAAGTAAAATACCGGATGATCTTGATATATCTGTGCGACAGAGCTCCGAAGAGCTGATTATCAGAGACGGGAATCAGCCAGAATAAGGAACTAACATGAGGAAAATACATCGTGAGGATCTTCTTCGCGCATTAGAGACTAAAAACGACTATCAGGATAATCTTGTTCAAAGATAACTGCAATCCATATTTACAACCAAGATATGATAAACGGAGTCGCACTGAACCATCTAAGGCATGTCTTTTCACTCAAACTGCATTGAAGCGCTGTCTAAGCTGCTATTGCAAGTGACTGTTTTGAAAAAGACAGCTCTCTCCAAAGTACGAAAGTTGCTGGTCTACCTAATTCCAGAGAATAAGAGCTGAGGCGTAGACAGACTACCGGCTGCTTACTTCACGATGAGAGGCACCAGCGATATGACCAGTGGGCTTTACAAATATCATTTCATGCTGCGGTCCGCTAACGATGGTCGGAAGCCACGCCCTCGTGAATTGACACGCAATCCAGTCTTAGTACCGGATGCCACGTTTGAACCAAACCGCTCAAAACTTAACTCGACGATACCAATCCAGGTCCTCAAATGAGTTCCGGAACGCCCGCGTCACCATCTCTATTACACCACAGCTTGTTTTTAGGCTTATAAAAGGAGCGATCGGGCCATTGAAGTCGTCGCTGCAACAGAGAGCTCGGAGAGTGAGATGCCGAAGTAGGTTTCATTGAGAGGTATAATTTCCGGATTGGGTCATAGATACCAACGATGGCAAAACTCAGGTTCGCGGATGTTTTCCACTAATGCGAACCGTCGTACGCACACTGATATCGCTTCCAGTTAATTAGGTCCTTACGAGTTACAGGAAGATATACCTTTCTTCCGTCAATATGAAGATCAGTATCTTCTCTAGTTTACCCCTTGGATTGAACGGTCTCCTAGCCCCAGATGTGGAGGACTGGAAAAAGCGTGGTATAATATAAAATAATCATTCAGCTGTGACACCCTTTCGATGCCTAGCTGCTGTGCCACCCGAAGGAAGCACCAGGGTTGGGATACTGTCGTGTTGCCCACGCCACGACAGACTGAATATACCGCATATACTATGAACAAGAGGTTCATCTGTCTTCCGTGAAAATCAAACTGGTACTCAAATGAAAGCACCTGTCGAAATTAGTCCAATCTGAGGTCAAGTAGAAAATAAGGTTGACGGAAAGTCGGAGATTGCGCCTACCTGATGATCCTCAAGGAGGACGATTTAGGTCTTGGACTGTCGGGGGGTTTTCGGCAGCCTTGAGTAGTTTCCTTTATGAAAAAGGGTGATGACTTGATAGAATTTGAACTATTTCGGTAGTCTGACGCAGACCACTACTGCCTTGCCATCAAGTTACTGAATCTTTCATTGCGGACCCTAATAGTCTTGCTTAGGTTTGCGCGCCATGGCAGTGTCTGAGCCCGCATACAACAGTGAATTGTACAATCAAATGCACCTTCATGCCACATCGACCGTCGTCTGGAAACAACAGTCCAGTCGCCTTGTTCGCTCACACGGCAAGGCAGATAACCAAGAACATGAGGCTGCCTCCAATCTTTTTCCATTATCCTCCCTTTATTCCCATACCACCTTATTGTATGATCACTCCACTATGAAGCCCAAGTGTAAACAAGTGTCAGAAATCCAGAAAAGCGACCAGTTGCACACCACTGGACAAATTTGCTGCTGAAATTCCAGCGATAAGCCCGTTCCTCCGTTTTAACCACAGCCTTCAATGTTCGACCCCTTAAGCAAGTCGCCCAACAAGCTGCTAATGCGCAAACTATTGACACTTTATCGACAGACGTTTGCCGCATATCTCAAGCCCGAATACAAGATACAAGGACAATAACTGGTTACAACACCTTCGCAGTCTATAATTTTGCATTTTAAGTAACACGTTCTGCTTCCGTACTTTTTCCTGTCTAACTTCCTAGTTCCAATTGCCCACACTTGCGCATATACGCACGCACTGATCGAATTAAAGTCTGAAACTATGTGTTTCACTCCACTTATGTGAAAGTCTTACAATGTGAGCTAGAGATACTTTAGCCAGCTTATGGAGAGGCTTGTGGGTGTTCGATAAATATTACAATACCAAGTAGTGCTTCGTAAGCCGAGATGAGTCAGATAGTATAAACCTTGTTCTCTTGTCGTTACACTGTCGAAGTCGTGCTGGTAGTACGGGATCTACCGGTCACATTTACCCCTCAAGGATGCTCTGGGGATGTAGTGACTGCCTCGCATCGAATGCAGACTGGGCGGTGAAATTGGTTCAGAGAACGAACCGTGGGTATCCAATCGTCATGAGGTGTTGTAATAAAAAGGTGGAAGAAAATCGCGCGCACAATGGTACACATATTTATCAGATCCATGTCTGTGTGTACTCCGCCGTGGGCTACAATGCCAGATAGCGATTGCAGCTAGGGAAAAAGAGAATGAAAACTGAGACCGTCAGCTCTGTCAGCTGACGTGTGGTTGACCTGGGTAGTTGTGCTGCGTTGTTGGCGTCAAGGTAATCTACCATGATTCACTTTGTCAGAATGAGGAATTGGTAGTGACAGAGTTCATTGCATCCACATAAGACCAGCAAATTGGGGTGGTCACCGGGTTCTTATTTGCTTCAGCAGGTTAAAGTCAAAATATTACCCGGGATGTTCTAAAGACACGCTGTGCTCACAAGACAGTATATGGACCAGTACGATTTGAAAGTTAATGATAAAAATACCGCTGTCACTGCAACAACACTAATTAAACACTTTCTGTCACATTCATGTTGATGCTGTGTGGCCATGTCTCAGTGGGCGCGAACCAAGTAGACCACGGGGAGCACCATGATCAAAAACTGCTCTCCACGCGCTTTAACGTATCCGTATTCAGGTAAGCTCAGCATTGGTTGATTTATGATCAGTTTAATTATGAGGTCATATATATATGTTATGTATATATATATATATATAT